CCCCCGCCAATGCAACTGGGCCCCACCCACGCCAACGCGTCGTTTCCGGATCTGAGCATTTCCTCAGGGCCCCCCCCCAGCGCGCAGGTTCCACCCACTCGACCTTGGGTCCCCAGGTTCTACCTGGTCTCTAGCCCTTACCCTCTGGTCTTGCCCCTCCTCCCACTGCGCCCCTTATCTCTGCCTCCTCCCCCTAGCCAGGGTCCCCTAACCCTGCGGCCCCCAGGCCCCAGCAAGCCTGAGCTCGGCCTCCCCAGTCCTGCCCACGAGGCTTTACTAACCTTTGCACCTCAGCTGGCCCCCAAAACATCCTGCGTATTTGTTCCTGGAGCCCGAGTCCTGACCTACCCCCAAAGTCCTGACTCTCCCCCAAAGTCCTGACCCACCCCCACCTCTGCCCACCAGGTCCGCAGCGCCCCCTCGGCCGGCTGCTGGCCGCTCCCGTTGGGTCCACAGGCCCACCCACAACTGGCTGCCTAGTGAGGACCCCCTGCCCACCTCCCCCCCAACTCCCCCCGTCTTCTCCCCACCACCCACAGACCGTCCCTTCTCACCCCCAGAGAACCAGGCGCTGCGGCTGGTGTCCAGCAGCAGCCCGTGTGCCGGCCGCGTGGAGATGCTGGAGCACGGCGAGTGGGGCTCGGTGTGTGACGACACGTGGGACCTGGAGGCCGCCCAGGTGGTGTGTCGGCAGCTGGGCTGCGGCTGGGCCGTCCAGGCCCTGCCCGGCATGCACTTCCCGCCAGGCCAGGGCCCCATCCACAGGGACCAGGTGAACTGCTCGGGGGCCGAGGCCCACCTCTGGGACTGCCCTGGGGTGCCAGGACAGGGCTACTGCGGCCACAAGGAGGATGCCGGGGTCGTGTGCTCAGGTCAGTGCGCCGGGCTGCGCCTCGGGCTTCCGCCCCGCCCCCACCCGCTCCCCGGAGGCTCACTGGGTGCAGGCTCGGAGGCCGGAGAGGCGGCCCCTGGCCTGGGGAGGGCACAGTCCAGGAGGGACAAGCCCGAGGGAGGAGGCGTGGCGGTACAGAGGCAGCTGGCAGTGGAGCCTCAGAGGGCTCAGCCTGCCACCGCCTGGCGGGGGCTGCGTCGGGTGTGACTCGCCCTGTGTACATGCTGGTCATCTGGCTCAGAGGGAGAGGGAGGCCAGGAGGCTGTGTGAGGCGGGGACATTCGTCCAGCCAGTCCGCCCCAGTGTGCACGGGAATGGGGAGGATTCAGTAGGTCCGGGGCAAGACTCGAGATTGCCCGCTTCCGACGAGACCCCGGGCCACGCACCTGCAGGCCTGGCGGCGGCTCACAGGGGTGGCAGGAGCAGGGCGGGCTGCGGAGGGAGGGGCCCGAGGTCTGCAGTCCCACGGCCCTGGGTGTTTGCATCGCAGGCCTGGGGTCCCCTGTCTGACTCTGCCTCCCTCTGCCCCCCAGAGCACCAGTCCTGGCGCCTGACTGGGGGCACAGACCCCTGCCAGGGGCAGGTGGAGGTCTACTTCCGTGGGGTCTGGAACACGGTGTGCGACAGCTCGTGGTACTCACCAGAGGCCAACGTGCTCTGCCGGGCCCTGGGCTGCGGCAACATGATCAAACTGCCCAAAGGAGGGCCCCACTCCCTGCCGGGCAGGATGTTCTACTCATGCATGGGCGGGGAGCCCGCCCTCTCGGACTGCAGCTGGCGCTTCAACAACTCCAACCTCTGCAGCCAGTCCCAGGCCGCCAGGGTCCTCTGCTCAGGTAGCCCGGCCCTCCCACCTCTGGCCACCCCACCGAGATTTGCACTGGGGGCCCCACTGAACCCGCAGCGTCAGACGTTGCAGGCCACGTATCACGGTTTAGCCCAGGGCAGGACTGGCAGACACGGGCGCCAGAGAGCCACTGCCCCAGCGTGCCCGGGCATTCACCCACCGGGCTTCCCGCCCACACACCCTCCGCCTGGCCCCAGGGCATGAACCAAATACTCACGAAGGCGTCGCGGTGTGCCCAGAGCGGGCTCAGGCCATGAACCCGAAGGTTATCCCAGGATGGGGGACCCCAGGGGAGACGACATTAGGGGGTACCACCGCTCTCTGGGCAGCTCCCGAGCACCCCAAGTGCCCACAGAGACCAGCCCCTCGTGTTTCTCGTGTCCGCCCAAGCTCACATCCACCGCGTGAACTGAGCTCTGCTGTATTTCTCCGAGTCGCAGTGCCAGGGCCTTAACCATGCATCGACTAAAAAGCTGTAACTATGAAAAAAAAAAAATGGGGGACCGAGCACTGCTCCCATTACTCTGGCGGGCCGCCCGTAGTCAGCAAACGGTGAGAGCCCTCCAAGACACTCAGGGTGGGGTTACTACGGCTTCACCTCTGCCACTGATGCCGGGGGGGCGTGGGCAGCCCAGAGCCACCCCACCCCTCCCCCGGGGCTTCAGGGGCTTCAGGTTGAGATGTGTGGACGCTAACACCAGGCGCCTCCTAGGGTAGCCGGGAAATCACAGAGGGACCTCAAGGGGCTTCATGAGCCCCACGCCCCGCCTGCCCACGGGATGCTGGTCACGGGGATGACTGCAGGGCCAGCCCCGCCGCCCTGAGAGCGAGAGCCAGGCCGGGTGGGAAGGGATTTGGGGCTGCAGATCGCACAGAATAATTGTCTTATTGGCCCTGGCATCAGTCTGTGGCCTCCTGATTGCGGGGGTGTGGAGCAGGGCAGGAGAAGCAGGTGTCCTTCGCCACATGCCCTGGCTCCAGGTCACGTACTGTCGTGGTCAGTTTCCAGCCAGGAGCTGGCCCACGGCAGGCACTCAGGGACGCCGTGTGAACGAGCCACGCTTTCTGACAGGTTCCTGGACTTGGCTCAACCTGTCCACTTCTGAAGGCCCGACCAGAGTTCCGGCGGTCACCGTGGGTGAGTGTCAGGGGCACGTGGGTTCTCACCTGTACGAGCACAGGTGTGCATGTGCGTCTGCCTGGAGGGACCTGATGGCTTGTCCCCAGCCCCGCCCCTCCCCCACCTCCACTCCCTGCCAAGTCCCTGGACCCCGAGATTTCCCGGGCAGGAGTCCACGCCTCACTCTGGAGGACAGAGCTGAGAGGCAGCGCAGGTCTGACACTGCCTGAACTTGGGGGGCCCCACGGGTAACAGCCCGCTTGCCATGTCCCTGAGGCCAGGCTCTGTCATCCTCGTTTCCTGCTATTTCCTTCCGCCCTCTGCAGCCTGGGGGGCAGGTGTCCTTGTCGCGCTTACGAGAAGCACAGGAGGGCGGCCGGAGCGGTGCCGGCATTCGCACCAGTCTCGCTACTCCAGACGGGGCTTGGTCTCCCCGCTGGCTGTGTGCAGCTTGGCTCGATTCAGCTCCCATCCCAGCCGTTTGCACCTGTGTCATGTGGGCAGTTCTTACCCGCCGGGTCTCAGCTCCTTCGACTGGAAGGCGGAGGCCCTGACCTAGCACCAGCACACTCAGCCGGGAATTAGCTTTACGGCGCGCTTGGCACTCAGGTCGGGCTGCGGTAACTCGTGACAGTTTAGTCTGGCTCCGAGCTCCTTGCAGCCCAGGGGACCCTGATCACGGACTGTCCATCCTGCACTGCCTCCCGGGCTCCCTATCACCCCAGAAGTTGAACAGGGGGTCGGGAGGGAAAGAGGGGAGCCAAGTCCTGCCAGAGACGATGAGGGCGCCGAGGTGGGTAGAATGTTGGGGGTGGCGAAGGCTGCAGGATGTGCTCCTGCCAGGACCCCCAGACTCACACGCTCCCTCGCACACTCCTCCTGGCGCAGGGCGGCTTCTAGGACCGCCCACACCTGGACATGGCCCCCCAGCTGCCTGGGGCCCCCACCCCAGGTCCCCACGTCCCCTAGTCTTATCTTCACCTGTTCCTACTTCTAAATCCAGTTCCCCACGCTGACCCAAACTGCCCCCTTTGTGGGGAGGAGGAGAAGGGGGGAGGAGAGGAAAGGGTTATCTCCCACGGAGCAGACAGAGCCCCAGCCAGGGGGTCAGGGTGCTCTGCCCCCCAAGATGCTGTCACCACCCACACCCTCGGTCCGCACAGCCCCTGGGCAGGGAGTGGGTCAGGACTGGCCCTCACCCCTCAGGGTCTGACCTCAGGGCGGTGTGGCCACTGCCAAACGCTCAGAGGCCTTCCCAGGGAGCAGCCTGGGTCTCCCCCGGGGGAGTGAGGTGCCCTTGCTGGGCCCCCTGCCCCAGAGCCCTGTCATCACCTGCCTCACAGGCCACATCTCACCTGGCATCTCACCCGTTACTCTGCGCTGGCTTGTTTGTCCCCCCACCCCCACCCCTGGGGCCCCTCGAGGCCTTGACACTGTGGTCACACTTGTTCCCCAGACCTGTGCCTGCACACAGTGGTGCTCAGTCATTGTTGAGCAGAGACACCCCTGCGGGCGGCGGGCGGGAGAAAGCTTTTCCGGCCAGTGTCACTCGCTGCGTTTCTTGAGCACCAGCTCTATACCAGGGACCTGAAGTCAGGTGGGAAGACTCAAAACAAGGGGGGAGGAGGGGACCCCAGGCAGAGGTGGGTCAGCTGCGGAGAGGATGGGGGGCGTGAAGGGCAGGAGATGTTTCTGCCCATTCCTCACTCTCCCTGACTTGGGGTGCCTGCTTCCAGAATCTGTGACAGTGAAAGCAGATTTGGACTCTCAGGGTGACAAGCTGCTCATCCCCTGCATCATCCTGGGAGTTCTCCTCCTTGGCGCACTCCTGTCCATAGCCATCATCCTCTTGAGAGTGAAGGGGAAATACGGTAAGGACGGCACTCTGGGAGCCACGGGGAAGGGGCAGGGGTGGGGAGAAGAAGGCCTGGGGTGCAGCCCCCCAGACAGATGTGAGCCCTGGGGACCCCAGCAGGAGTAGCAGATGATCCTGCCACCCCTGAGCCTGGGGAGCACCTCCTGATGGGAGGGAGTTTCCCAGCATGCCCTGCACACGTTGGCTCTCCAGTGTAGGTACCTCAGGAGGACCAGAGTGGGGGGAGCATTGGGGGGGGCCGTGGGGGTCACTGGCTAGGAAGGAGCACTCAGGAGCACAGAGCCAGGTTGCCTGGGAAGGGCGAAAAATGACGTGTGGACTTTCTCCCTCCCATCCTCAGCCCTCCCCGTTACGGTGAACCACCAGCACCTGCCCACCCCCACCCCGGCAGTGGTCAACAGCTACCAGGAGGTCCCCAACATCATCCCCAAAGAGGAAGGTAGGTCATGGCCCCACCGGGACTGGCAGGGCTGGTGAGGGCAGGGAGGCAGGCTGTCTGCAGGGTGAGGACTGCTGAGGTGGAAGCAGAGGTCGGACTACAGATGACCCCGGGCCGGCCCTCCTGGCCCCCAGGCCGGGGTGGGAGCCTGGGGCTCAGGTCTCCCCTGGGCCTTGGTGGGGACCTCTAGTGCGGTCTCCTTGGCTCCTGGCTTTCACGTTCTTGGTTCTCACGGCAGGCTCCGCCCTGCTCTCTGGCCCTGAGGCCTGTGAAGCTGCTGCCACGCCAGGGCAACCGCCCCCTTGCTGGGCCCCAGCAAGGCTTCCCCAGAACATCATTTTATTTCTCATTCTCGGAGTAAAAAAAATAATCACAGGTCCAGCCACCCATCTTTCACGACACAGGGGCTTGCCTGCAGGGAGGCTCCAGGAGCTCTCTGAAGGCGCCGCGTCACCTCGCTGACCCAGCTGTCCCTGCAGTGCTGCCCACAGGCGTGTGGGATAGAGAGCCAGGGCGAGGCCAGACCCAGAGCGGCCACTCGCGGGCAGCCGGGGCCAGGTTAGGACCAGGCAGCCTGCCTCTCCAGGCCGGTGAGGGCCGCGCTGTGCCTCAGTGCCCCGGTGCGAGACGGAGACCATAGCCAGACTGGTGTGGCGGTGATGACCTTCAGGAGACAGTGACCGCTCTCTCCCCTCGGGCGCCTCCCTGCACTCTCTCTGCTCGCCAGGGCCTCCCTCGCCTGCCCCTCCGCCCACCCTCCGCCAGGCCCCACTCTGCTCTCTCCCCAGATCCCAAGCTGCCCATCCAGGTGCAGGCCCCTCACCCCGCGGACTCGGACTCTGACTCCGACTACGAGCACTATGACTTCAGCAGCCAGCCGCCCGTGGCCCTGACCACCTTCTACAGTGAGTGCGGCCTCGGCACCCTCTCGGGAGCCCCAGACTGACTCACCAGGCGAAGCTGCACTTCTCTCCATGCCCCCCATCCTGGAGACATGTCCCCCGCTCGGCCTCCTTCCTCCCACGTTGTCTCTGGCCTGGGGCGCCTCGGGCCAGCCCCCCACCCCCATTCACCAGAAGTGGGCTGTGTCTGCGTGGGGGTCCAGGCGAGAGACAGCGCTGGATGGCTTCTGCCCTCCCCCTCCCCCCCGCCCCCGTGCTCCAGCCTGCCGGGTCACCCTCGCTCCCCTCCCCCCGCTATTAGCCCAGCCTGTACCTCTCAGCTGACTTCCAGCTCCTCTCTCTGCTGCTGGGGACAGAGGACAGCGGGTGCGTCACGCAGGGCCCAGGCAAAGCCCAGCGGCTGGACAGAGCAGAGAAGCCCACACCACCTGGTGTGGGATCACCTGGGGACTTGCCCAGACATCCTGAGCCCACCCCCGCCCCGCACTTCTGTAGGATGAGAGTTTGACTACGACGGTGACCTCAAATGACAGTGTCCTGAGAAGCTGGCGGGAGCCAGCCTCCTTCCTGCTTGCTTCTGCATTCCCTGGGATGTTGCTCTAATCCCAGGGTCCAGCAGGGCCTCCTCCCCCACACCAGGCCAGGGGACGCGGGAGGGAGAGGCCTGTCCTGCGAGACAGGTGCTGCCCCGTGGCCCCACTCACACCCCACAGCCAGGACGTGCCCTCACCAGCTGCGAGGGAGACGGGCAGAGAGACAGGGGAGCAGCTGGCCACCTCTGCCCCTCCCCTGCTGAACCAGGACCCCCAGGGGCAGGATGCCGTGATTCTGCCTCTGCAGGGCCATGTACCTGTGTCTGGGAGCCCTCAGGCTTGGGGTGTCCCTAGAATCCGAGGCTGAGCCCAGGCCCATACGTCACAGACCGGGAAGCCTAGATCCCATGTCCCTGAGACTGAAAGTCAGCCGCCCTGGCTCAAGAGCGCTGCCACCTGGATTCCAGACTCGGGGCCCTTCAGCCACTTTGAGTCTGCAGCTCTGGGATTTAGAATCCAAAGCCGCACTCTGGGAAGGCTCAAGTCCCCCCTTCCTGCCCAGGTCCTCAATATTCTGGAACCAGGGGAGGGGCCGCAGGGGCCGGGGGTGCAGGCACTGGGGTTTCTGGCCAGAAACCGCCCATCCCCGAGCTGGGTCCAGATTAGACAACGGGGGCCGGGACCAGGACGTGAGCTTGGGACCTGGCGGGAGAGGCCGAGGCCCTCCGGATGGCTGGGCTTGCCCTCACGCCCTAGCGCCTCACGGACACCCTCCAAGCTCCGGGAGACCCCCACCCAGGACCGAGGCCGGTAGCCTCACCCCCTCACGCCATGCTGTTTGCAGACTCCCAGCGGCACCGGCCCACCGACGAGGAGGTTCAGCAGAGCCGGTTCCACCTGCCCGCCTTGGAGGAAGGTGAGTCCGGCTGGGGAGGCCGCCAGACTGGCTCTCAGGCCGCCAGCAGCCGCCCCTCCAGCTGGCCCCCTGACTTTAACAGTGTCCACTGGCACTAAGTTCTCCAGTCTGACGTGGAGCCCTGCTGTCGCCCTGCTTCTCTCCTGACCTCCCCCTTTCCTGGGGGGGACTTGGCGAGGCTCATGCCTCCCAGGTCCCCCCCCCGCCAACCCTGCACTCTGCATTGCAGACACCCTCTCCCTGGGGCCTCGGCACCAGCCAAGGAACAGCAGCGGGTCCAGCACCTCCTCCGGCGAGGGCTACTGCAATAACCCCAGCACCAAGGTCGCCCCCTGGCACCCTCCAGCGTCTTCTTCCGAGGTCGCCCCCTGG